CGATGTGTCCCCCCCCGAGCTTATCCCCCCTAATCCCACCAGCTTTTGCGCCAGGTGGTCTAACGAGGGCCTTTTCCTCTTCCACAACCCCTATTCCCTTCGGGGAGGGGAACGCTCCCACTCCCCTCCCTGATGTTGTTTGGGAGGGGGACCGAGGTGTCGGAAGCTCCTCGTTCGGCCCCTGGGAGGGCCAATTTTTGACACCCCTCACGATAATCGTGGCCTCCGAAAAGGTGGGGAGGGAAATCGAGGACCCCCCCTTTTCTGACCGATCGCCTCCAAGATGGCCCCAAGAGGCGCCCCCAAGAGGCTCCCAAGAGGGCTCCAACAACGCCCCAAGAGGCCCCAAAAAGGCTCCAAGAGGCACCCGGAACAAAAAAAAGGCACCCAAGAGGCCCCCGGGCGGCATCACAGAACCCAAGATGACCTCAAAGAGGGCCCAGATAGCCCAAGTTGGCTCAAGATGGCCCCAAAGATGCCCCAAACGGCCCCCAAACCGCTCCAAGACGGCTCGAAATGGCCACGGAGCCTCCCAACCCCCCCTCGTTGTTGGGCTATGCGTGTCTCTTCCTCTCTCCCCCCGTCAACTCTCATGGGCATCGTTTCTGGATGGGCTGGTGGGGATGTTTTTTGTTGCAAACGCAGGCGAAGGCGCCAGCGGCGTCACAGGTCGGCTCGGGCTACGAGCAAAACAAATTGCCGAACGCGCGCGCGGGCAACTGCTAAACCTACCGCCAGGGGGAAACTGGGCTGCGCTAGGGGCAAGGGCTGGAAGAGCTGCCGGGGGTTGTCAGGCGGTTGCGCAGGCGCGCGGGCGCCCCAGGGATGAGCCCACCGAGATGGATGAATTGCAACTTGTCGCATCCAGGCGCTAAGAGGCCGACGGGCTAGCGGAGATATTTCTTATTCGCGAGCGTCGCGGTCAAATCGCGCGCCGTCCAGAAGCGAGGCAACCGCGCCAGGATCTAAATTAGGCGCTAAGCGCGCTGGAGCGAACTACGCTGCGACTCAGGAGGCGACGAGGGCGCTGAAAGACAGGCCGAAAACGCCGATGCCGTAGGAGACCACGGGGTGAATCCGGTCCGCGTGCAGCGCCAAAATGGCGAGGTAATTCGAGCCTGGGTCCCCGAAGATCACGTCCGCGCACTCGAGGGGGACGATGACCACGGCCACGTGGACGAGGAGGGCAAACAGTGCAGGCGCCCAACGGAGGACTCCGGATCGCCGGGGGGAAGTCAAGAGGCACGAACGTTTTGGAGCCCAGCTGGTGGGGATACTTTTTTGGTCGCGGCCGCAAGCGAAGAGGCAGGCGGCGAACAGGGTGTCCGGGCCGACGAACAAGCCTAATTAGCTACAGGGCGTGACAAGCTGCAAAGCGCAGCACGAGCCGGCCGGGCCAGCTCACACACGCGGCAGTTGGGGCGGCAGCAGCGGGGGCTGGCTGGCTGAACTGGAACGCCCTGGGAAGCTCAAGCAACGTGCAGCCCTGCAGCAAAATACCAGGGAATTCTGTGTTACGCGCTGTGGCGGCCAGACGTGGTAAACGATGGGCCGTCGCCAGTGGGGCGCCAAGCCCAAGCTGCACCAACGGCGTGTGTTGCCAGCTGAGCAGCTCCGCCGAAAAGCGCCGAATACCAAGCTGGGGGTGGGGTGGGCCCGGAGGGCGGCCGAAACTGCGAAGACCACTCGGAGCTGGCTGTACCTCCAGGGGCCGTGCGCGGCGTGAGGCCAAGCTGGTGGGGAAGAACATCGCCAGAAAGGTGGGGCGTCCAGGGTGGAGCTGCGCTGTCGCAGCCGCGTGGTGCACGCCGAAGGCCACGATGGGACGGCCTTGTCCGCCGCGTCCGCCATTCCCCGCGGGGATCCAGGGTCACCGTCGAATCCACCATACCACGTGGGCTTCCAGGGTCGCAGCTAACCGCCGCTGAAGGTGAGGGAACGTTGTCACTGACAGCGGGGGTCCAAGCAGCCCTGGGGAGTGGGGGCGAGAGCCAAGCGTCAAGAGTTGCCCCTGGCTCTCTCGTCCCCATCCTTAAGATTGCCACCACCTCCAACTCCTCCTGCTCATCCTCCTTGTTCCCCTCTCTCTGCCTCCATATCTCCCTCCCTCCCGCTGCCTCTCCCCGCCCCACTTCCCCACAAACGTGCTGGAATGTGATGCGTGTTGCATGCTGATGCCTAGCGCCCGCGTGCCTGATTCGTGTTCTCACGCTCTCATCTGAGCGCCCTGCGTGCAGATCGCATCTCCAACGTTGAGTGAGTCACCAAGCGGCAGCAGAGCACTACTTCCTCATCCCTCTTCACCACCCTCCCTCTCCCCCTCTTCCCTGTGTGCCTCCTCCTCCTCCTCCTCCGCCCTCCTCCTCCCTGTCACTCTCCTCCCCGCTCCACCTCCTCCTCCTCCTCCTCCTCCTCCTCCTGCTCCTCCTCCTCCTCCTCCTCCTCCTCCTCCTCCTCCTGCTCCTCCTCTTCTTCCTCCTCCTCCTCCTCCTCCTCTTCCTTCCCCTTTCCCCTTTCCCCTCCTCCACTCCAGTCGATTTCAAGTCTTTCCCAGCCGTCAGTCTCTGGCATCCCCCTTCTCGTCACGGAGCCCCGCCTGGGATGCCGTCGACGCCTGTCGCCGGATGCATGCCTGAGTGGGAGCTGGAAAGGAGAGGGGATGAGAGGGGGCGGGAAGGGGAAGAAGGATCGGGGGGGAAGGGGGGGCACAGGACAGGGGAAGAAGGGGAGGGAGGCTGGACCGGGGGAGAGAGGAGGAAGAATGGTGTCCGACCGACCCCGCCACGGAAGTGAGCGTTCGCAGTGCGCTCGAGCAGACGCGTGTGGACAACGACAACAACCTCGAGGATGCGGGGGGCACGAGCGGAAAACGCCTCATCCGCCCATCCCCCTCCGCCCTCTGGACCTGGGGCGTGCGTTTAGGGCGCACCTCCTTCCCTCCTTAACCGTTCCGCCTCACTGGACGCCCCAGCACGGTGGACCTCCTCCAGCGCACTGCACTTCCTCCATCGTGGCCCCTATCGTGAGGGGCAACGATAGGGGGAGACCAACTCAGGGAGGGAAACACCGGCCTGGAATCGACAAGACACCGCCGATTGATCAGCGATTGGCCCCACATACCGAAGCCGCACGGTCCTGGGATGTGGGCTATTGAGCCCCCCCCTTTTGGCGATCAACGGCGATTGGAAGTCGATGCGTGCCCCCCCAGAGCCTATCCCCCCTAATTGCCCCTGACTCTCTCGTCCCCATCCCTAAGATTGCCCCAACCTCCAACTCCTCCTACTCCTCCACAATTCAACAATATGAATACCACTCTCCCCCACACCGTGAAATTATCTAGAGGACCTCCCGCACCCTTCCGCGTGCTCTCTTGCACACAGGATTTCAAGCTCTGATTTCATTTCGTATTGTTGTTTGCTAGCCAAGCGTTTTCGGTGTTTCAAAATGGTGTTCCCGCTGCAGCGTGGGCCTACTTTCGGATCGGCGCGTTGCTCCCGTCGTCTCTCGCCCCACCGTGGGCCACTTTTCTGGATCCGAAATTTGCTTCGTTGTGGTCCCCCATCATTTTCCCCTCCTCCGCCTTCCCCTGGTCCTCATGTTCCTCCTGCTCCTTCCACTCCAAGTCCTGCTGCTGCTGCTGCTGCTGCTGCTGCTCGTCTCGCCCCAGCGCGGGCCACTTTTCTGAATCCGAGTCTTTACTAATCGGTGTCGCCCTTCTCATTTCCCCTCCTCCGCCTTCCCCTGGTCATCCTTTCCCTCCAGAGCCTTCCGCTTTAATTCCTGCTGCTGCTGTTCGTCCTCATCCTTTTCCTCCCGCTAGTCCTCATGCTCACCCGCCACCTCCTGATCATTGGTACGTTGCTCCCCCTTTTTCCGATTCGGCGCAGCACTGAGTGATCTTTCTGTGTGAGTCGCAGGTTGGCTATGACGCGCGTCCGCGGATCAAGAAAAATCAGCAGCATGGGAAGGGATGGGGAGGGACAATAATTCAGATGAGGCGAGAACATACCTAGCTCGTCCTTTTTCCCCCTCCCCATTCCTCCCCTCCCCATTCCTCCCTCTCTCCCTCCCTCCCGCTGCCTCTTCCCGCCCCACTTCCCCGCAACCGTGCTGGAATATGATGCGTGTTGCATACTGCTGCTGAGCGCCCGCGTACCTGTTCCGTGTTCTCATGCTCTTATCCGCGCAGCAGATCGCATCTCCAACGTTGAGCGAGTCCCCGAGTGGCAGCAGAGCACTCCCTCCTCATCCCTCTTAACCACCCTCCCTCTCTCTCTCTCTCTCCTCATCAAGTGCCCCCTCCTCCTCCTCCTCTCTTTCCTCCTCCGCACTCCTCCTCCCTGTCATTATCCTCCTCCTCCTCCTCCTCCTCCTCCTGCTCCTCGTCCTCTTCCTCCTCCTCCTCCTCCTCCTCCTCTTCCTCCTCCTCCTCCTCCTCCTCCTCCTCCTCCTCCTCCTCCTCCCCCCTTCCCATCATCCCCTCCCGTCGACGTCAGGTCTGACCTAACTAGCCGTCAGACTCTGGCATCACCCTTCCCGCCGCGGAGCTCCGCCTGGGACGCCGACGACTGCCGACCTGGCGATGGAGGTCCTCCGCTGATGGTCCTGGCGACCGAGGAAGGGGGAAGGCTCCCAACCCCCAGGCCATCTAGCTGCGCGCATGGCGCCCCGCAATGTGCAGCGCGCGCACTCTATTCGCGCCTTCGCGCCGCCGCTCCTGAGGGCACCTCTTCGGCTCAGACCGCAACGCGCGTAGCGCAGATGCATTCGCGCCCCCCGCGGGTGACCTGGCAGTCCCAGCTTTCAGCTGCCTTGCTCGCGCGCTGCGCCGCACGCGCGCGGGAAAGCCGCGGCCCCTGATTTGAACCAGAAGAGGAGCCATCATCCGCCAATGAGTCGACATCAAGAACAATTGCTGAATTCAGAATCATTCCGGGGGCGCAGGACAGAGTTTGGCCACCGTGCCAGCCATGCTACGTCGACCACCTCAAGGCAGCGCCACGCAGCGGCAAATCAAAACCGTGCCACTCGAGACTTAGCAACCCAAAAGTACGCCGTGCAAAGCGTTGCAAGGCAAACCAGCGCAATGGAACACCAAGCTGCTCAAACATATCCATATGCAATGCGATGCGATGCGATATAAAGCCGAGCATTGCAACACCTTGCACATAGAGCAAAACAATGCAAGATGATGCCAACGCAAAAAGCAATTCAACGCGCTGCAACACACAGCAACGTATTGCAACATATTGAAAAGTAATGCCACTTCAAAATAATATCAATGCAACGCAAAACGTAATGCGAACCAGCGCTGTGCACGACAATAAGACGCAACCAAATGCGAAGGCGACGCGATGCGACGCAATGCAACGCAATGGAACGCAATGCAAGGCAATGCTGCCCTGGGCAACACAAAGCTGAGAAGAGCATCGTAGATCAAAACACAACATAGCACGCCGAAAACACCACTGACAAGGCACAATGGTGACGTTCTCGGGGAGCCGCGGCGGACGCCCACAACGCTGTGGAGGCCACGGAAGCCGCAAAGAACTCAGGTGGCCAGCCGTGAAAGGGTCAGCGGCTTTGTAGCCTCACAGGCGAAGCCTTGTCAGGGAGCGTACCGTACAGGTGGCGCGGGTCGTACAAAGCACAGACAGGAAGAGGTAGACGAGGCTGAAACTGGCAGGCAGAGCAGGAACTGAAGCGGGAGCGAGGATTCACAGCCAGAACTTGCATGCAGAGACGGACGTCAAGCTGAAGCTAGAGTCGGCAGCTGGACGTGGAGGCGGGAAATTGGAGGTGTTGCTACAGCCAAAGCCATGATTGGAACTGGAGCTACATGTCAAGCTGGTAGCCAGAGCTAGTGCGGGATCTTTCCTGTATATGGCTGCGAGGCGAGGCTGCGAGGCTGCGCCTATCCCTGGGACGGCCCTACGCGGGGCTAGGCGGTGGCGCCGGGGCGCCGGCATCACTCGAGCATCATATATCGTATCGTTGCCAACAAATTCCATACCATGTGGTTGTGTCGCTGTGGTTGCGTCGCCTATTTCGTTCTCTGCTTCACAGTCGGGGCGCTGGTCCGTGGTTACACTGGTTACGTGATTACCATGGGGTGTGGTTCCTGTCCTCGCTGCGAAAAACCGTTCTGGATCACACCCCAACATTCAGCCGTCTCGCAAACAAACCGCCTGAAGCAGACCCAGGGCCCAGGTAGCCCTCGCAATCGGACCACATGTACCCACGTGGCCGGGCTATCGCAAAAGCCAACGAAAACCCAAGGAAGACATTGATTCCCCACAGATGTCACCACTGATCACATCAGACCTTGCCCAAGTCCATGGCCTACGCTCCATGGCACCTATTGATGAAGAAAATGCTCCAAGAAAATGGATGCAAGAGTGGGGACCGTCATGCAGCAGACCCGGACGAAGTAGTGAGAGCGAATGTTCCTCGTAAGACTCCACTTCCCCAGCACCCTCTCCCCCCTCCAGCCTCTCTTCTTCCACCGACTGCTCAACTTCTCCTCCTCCGCCAGTTTTTCCGCCTCCTCCTCATCCTCCTCGAAACCCTCCTTCCCTCCTGTTAACTGCTTCATCATCTCATCATCCTGCTAATGTTCATCCTAGTCATGGCTGCTCTAATCACCTGCCCCTCTCGGGCGAGGACCAATCGTGACAACGGCGGCTCTCGCCCCAGGCCCAATTCCGCTCGAAACCTGTCCACAAACCCCGCCCTGGGTTCATCCTGACCCCATACACGACACGGATACAGCCTTGGCGACGAGAAACTCCAGGAGGCTCAACAAGAACGGAAAACGCATGGGCGGATCGCCTTGCCCTCCCCCCCCGGGAGCGAAAGTCCTCCTCTGCTCCGCCGCTGGCTCTTCCTCCGACTGGGCCTTCCCCCGTGTCTGCCGCGGGCTCACCTGGGGGCTCGCTGGCGCGCCGCTGCATGCCGACACTGACACCTCTGTGCTTCTGAGGGCCCTCGTGGGGTCATATGCGAAGCTGGACAGAATGAGGAGGTTAGTGAATCGACTGCCACCCCTGGCCGTCCCAGACTGTGCTTGCAGGCTCCGTGATGTTCACAGTGTCTGTGGCGCTCGTGGCTTCCTTTAAAAGCACACCGATGCCCCAGAAACCCTGACTTCTTCGTGTCGTGAAAGAATCTGACTTGTGGTTGCATTTTTCGGCCACCAGAAGCCCTCACCGTGCCCAAGGACCGTCAAACAACGACGCAGGATGAACAAAAAGGGTCCCAAGGAGGAGTCCAGACCTCAGGGCGGAAAAAATCACGACGTCGGATGTCCGGGGATTCCGAGCGGGAGCGGTGCTTCTGTCGTATCGGTTTTACCGCCCCTCTCCGCCCCCCACCCCCGTCCTCCCCGTAATGCCACCCTTCCCGCTGGCACCACCGAGCGAAGCGGCCTACCAATGAGCTCCGCAAGTGCCTGTAGGCGCCAGGATGCGCACAGTTGCAATGGCATTTGCGAGCGCAAAGACCAGCGATGGCCATAATGCATGCGAACGCCGAAACGCCCGTGGGCACTGCAACGCCCGTGGGCGTCAAAACTCTTGTGAGCAGGATGCTTCCTGCTTCCTAGAGGCACTCGTGTTTCTGCGGCGCCAGTGTGCTCTTGAAGAACAGCACTAACACCACATACTCTGTGAATACCAAAAGCCTGCAACACACATATTGGGAGGGCCAAGGGCGGTAGCCGATAAACCTACTTCTGCCCGGCTTCACATATGAGCCCACTCTTGGGCTCTCAAACGTTCCCCAAACAATGCTTGCACTTAGGGGTTCTTATCTCCTCTAAGGAACTGGGCCTGCCTGGCGGTCCGGCGGCTATGTTGTCGCTGTCGCCACCCCGTCGCCGCCCGTCGTCTGGGTCTGTCTGGCGGTCTGGTGGCTATGTTATCGCCGTCGCCGCCCAATCGTCGCCTCGTCGCAGCCCGTCGTCTGGGCCTGGCTGGCAATCTGGCGGCTGGGTTGTCGCCGTCGCGTCCCGTCGCCGCCCCCCATTGCACAACAAAGCTTGCTCCACATAGACGGCACCACGTCGACTGCACCACGTCGATTGCACCGCGTGGATTGCACAACATCATTAGATTGCACCGCGTAGATAGCACCACATAGGCTGTACCACATAGATGACACAACCTAGATTCCACAACGCATACTACAGAAGTGCGCATTATCCTACCCCATGGCCTTATCGACCTCATTGGAATAGTGCAACGCACAAAAGATGTTGCCCACCATCGTTCATCTCAAATCTGAAATTGGCTCATACCATCCCAGGCAGGCCAGCATCGCCCCCCCTCGTCCTTGACAAACAAAATGTGCGCGCACACTCGTTTACCCGCCGGCCCACGCTTGATGGGGGTGCAACAGCGTGTGAAATCATTGGCTGTCCCCTGGGGTCTGACGTCCGACTAAAACGGGGGGGCCTAGTGGGTGGGTGGGTCTCCGAACTCATCGATGCTCCCATGGGGCCTCCGCGGCCTGCATGTTTACATGTTGTGGCCTCCAATATACCCAAGAATCGATCTACGCTTGCTCAAGCAGGGTTCCAACACGTACAGGAATCCTCCAAGACGACCAAAATAGCCTCAAGACTACCCAAAAGGTTTCATAAATGCCCCAGGAAGACGCCACGACGATCCCCGAAGAGGGCCCCAAGAAACAAGTTTTGTCAAAACTCGTGGGAAAACGAATAATGCCACCAACCCTTTGGGCGACAGGTGGTCTAACAAGGGTCTCTTTCCTCTTCCACGACCCGTCTTCCCTTCGGGGAGGGGAACCCTCCACCTCCCCTCACTGATAATTTTTGGGAGGGATCGCGAGGTGTCGGAGGCTCCTTTTTCGGCCATTGGGAGGGCAATGTTTTGCCACCCCTCACGAGGATCGTGGCCCCCGAAGGGGGAACCTAAATCGAGTACCCCTCCATCTTGTGACCGACCGCCTCCAAGATGGCCCCAAGAGGCTCTCCAGGGCTTCCCAGAGGCGGGCCCCGAGAAAGCCTCGGGAAGGCCCCCCACCAGTAGCTCCCGGTACTGCGTTTCGGCGGGCCCCCTCGGAGCATCTGGGAGGGTCCTCTTGGGTTTCTCTCGAGCCATTCTCGGACTCCCCCGAATATTTCCGAAGAGTCCGAAGGCGCCCTCGGAGGCACCCAACAAGCCCAGGAAGGCTTCAAGGGAGGTCTGGTGGTCGAGGGAAAAAATAATCTCAGCTCACCAGTGGGCATCCCGCGCTGGCGCGAGCAACCAGTTCACTCGAGCGCCCAGGCATTTCTTTGGCAACAACGACTAGGAGACGGCCGATGAAGAAATCTTCCTGGGGCGTGAAGCCCTCCTCCGAATGGGGGGATGGTTGCCCCCCTTGGGTCAGCAGGAGAAGGGGGGGGGGGGGGGGGGCGATTTTCGCGCGCTGTCGGAAGGGAAGGGGGCCAGGGGGGGAGATGGCGCAGTTTTGGGACTCAAGCTTCTGGGCCCGGAGGGCGGGCCGAGCAGCGTCGGCACCCCCCGAGGTGGGTTTGGAAATTGCAGGGCGGTCGCGGGCGGGAGAAGATGAACCGCTGACTCCCCCATCAACACTTGCACACGAGCCCCCGCGGAGATTGAAAGCGCGCGCGAAAATGTCGTGCCAATTTCGGTGCGCGACCAGGCCCCCGGGTTTCGAATTTCGGATCTCCCACGAGATGACATTCGAGGACCCCGAGAGGGGCCCAAGAGGAAGCATCAAGAACTCACGCACTTGCCCTCTCGCGTGAGATTGTCGCGGCTCCGCTGACCCCCCCTCGGGGCCGTCCCGGGGCCCTCTAGGACGGCGCCGGGGGGGGGGGCTCGGAGGGCCCTGGGAAGGTCCCAAGAGGGGGCCCAAGAGGAGTCAACATGAAGTCATGGGAGAGCCCTCTCGCATGTCTTCATCTCGTCTCCACTTGAGCCGATCGTGGGTCATCCCAGGGTTCCTCTCGAAACCTTCGCAGGCCTCTGGTATAGTTCCAAGAGGGCCCGAGGGAACCCACATAGGGCCCCTCCCAGATGCCCCCGGGAAGCGCTCCGAAGCGCAGCGCCAGGAACATCCAGAAACATGCATAATCGAAGCCCTGTCGCTGCCTTCTTGGGCCCCCCTTCCAAGTCCGCCTCCCTTCTTTTACCCACTCTGGTCCCTTGCGGTCCACGCATTACTCCCCGTCCTCTACCTCGCCCATTTTCCCCCTCCATCCATTCCCTCGCCCCACTCGTGTTTCTGTTGCTCGTTTTTTGTTGGCCTCGCGCCAGTCGTTAATGGATCGCCACGTGAAAAATATGTGTCCTAACCCCGCAAGTTAGGTGTCGGCACATGCGCGTTGGCCTCCGAAATAATGGCATCAGCCTTCTCAGGGCCCACCCAGGTCTGCAGCCACCTCGGGGGCGGCGGAGACGACGTGGAAGCCGACGCCGAGGGCGCGCCGACGCCGCTGGAAATACCCACCCCGCTAAGCGCCGCGTCAGCGTTGGAATTGACCATGCCGCTAGCTGCTAGCTGCCAACTGACGTTGGCTCGGGCCGACCCCCCAGCACTCCCACCCGGCGAGATCCCCCGCGACAGGCCAGGCCTGTCTCGGGGCCCGTCCGCAGCGCAGTCTCGGGCATTCTCAGAGCCAGCCCTGGTCCGCAAGCTTCTCGAGGTATTCGGAGAAGACGAGGGCGCCGCCGCTGGCGGGACTTCGGGCCCCCCCGAGGCAGAACGCGCACTGGGTCTCGACGATGGGGCCGATGCCAAACCAACCTCCGCCACATCGCCGCAACTGAACCGCAATGCACGACGAACCCCATAGCTTGGACTCGCTCCCGCCTCGCCGCCGGCTACTCGCGCGGCGCCGATTCTGCCGCCTGGCCTGCCTCGCCGCGGCCGCCGCCCTTAATCTTCTCCGCTGCTGCCGCCGACGGGCCGGCTGCTGGGCGCCGCCCATTGGCCCGTAGGTTTAGCGCCCCCCTCCTCGGCAGCAGCTGCCTCCACCGCAGCGACTACATCGGCTGCGTCTTGATCCTCACCAGCATGCCTCTTCTTGGGCGACAGACGTTCCTGCAGGACCTTGTGTTCGCCGAAGAAGGTGCCTGCCATGCTCTTGAAGGCCTCGAGCATATCCTCCTTGCGCTCCTGCGCCTCCCCCAAAGCCGACGGGTCCAATCCCTCAATCTCGGCGAAAACGAAGAGCCCGTCGTCGCCCAAATCGATGTCGTTGAGTTCGCCGTCCATGGGTCGTACCAGATATTGCTCGACTGGCCCACTGCCGTTGGCCGCCTTAGAAGCCGCAGCCCAAGCAACTGGGGCCCCGACGTCCGCAACGACTTCTGCCACTGCCGACGTGTAATCCATCTCGAGCTCCCCGACCGACGTCGCCACCGACTTTGTCTGGCTCTCCGCCTTCTAAAGGAGGTCATCGAACACCACGCTCTCCGACGAGCCTGGTTGGCGCGGACCTCAGCAGGTTTCTCCAAGGACTTAGGCCGATCATGCCACTACAACTGCTGACGGTACTTTTTGACGGCCGCCAAATCGCCAGACTTCTTGGCCAGCTGCTCCACAAACAACAATTCCTCACGCGACAAGGCTGCTGTCGGAATGACCGATTTGTACTTTGCTGCCTGGTCTTTGTCACCTTTGGACTCGGCGAGAGCCACGAAAGTTTGCATGGCGTCAATGTCGAACTCCTCCTTCTGGCGTAGTAACGCTGCCAGCACCACAGGAGGACGATCCTTAGCCCATGGCGGCCTGTCCCCCCCCGCCCCGACTTCGCCCTCCCGCAGCGCTTACCGTACACCACGTCCAGTGCTGGAGCTTCCTCGCACAGCGACAGTCGGCGTAGCCACAGCGCCATCCCTCGACCTGTCGCTGCCTGGACGCCGACCGCGACGGCCTACGCCCACCATCGCCCGGCATGCCACGGCCCTCACGGCCCGCAGCGCCTGCCATGATGAGATGACGGTCGCCGAGGTGATTGCTGAGCACACGCCTGGCCTGAGCCCCGGCCAGGACCACACGGGCTTGGGCTCGCCTTCTCCTGAGCCGCCTGTGCTATGCGGGGGACAGCGAACGCTTACGGTGCGCGCCCGCTGAACACAGGCGAACGGCCGAATTTTGCGGGGTACGGTCGGCCCCAGCAGCCTGAACGCGAAACGCTTACAGGAATACCGATAGAATACGGAGATACAGGAGGAGGAAGCCATCGTGCCGAGTCCAAGAGTCAACATTCGGCCGCCTAGTGCGCCACCCCTTGCGACATCTACACGCGCGCAAGACTCCAGGAACACTTCTGCTGATTGCATTGCCGAGGACCGCATAAGAGCCACAATGGTTGTCATCACCATGGTGTGTAGGGTTACCGCGCCCATGATCGCCATCGTGCTGGAGAGCCCCTCAAAGCCACTGGGCAGCACAACGCGAGGGGGCCGCGGCCCTGACAGCAAGACGCACGAGGAACGCGTCAGCGCATAGTTGGGAGAAAGGAGACAAGGAGCGGACGAGGAAGGGAAAGGAGGCAAGGACGAGAAAGAGCGGGAGGAAAAGAGAACAAGTAGGGTGATGTGAGGGTTGAGAGGGAGCAGGTGGAGCAGGAAGGGGAGTGGGGTAAATGGGACGAGGGCGGAGGGGGACTGGGAGGGCGGGAGGGAAAAGTGGGAGCCGATGCCGCCGCCGAGCACGCCTGGGTCACCGACGACGAGGCCGCCCTCACCGATGCCGTCGACTGCCTCTCCCTTGCGGCGGACGGGGGGGAGGGGCGGGGGAAGATGCCAGACGGGGGACCCGGCTCGCGCCCGGCTCGCGAGCGGCGGGCGGCTCCGCCGGTTTTCGGTCAGGAACGTTCAGGAGCCTTTGTTTACGGGCGGGCGTGGCAAGGGGCGGGGCGGGGCTTGGAGAGGGGACGGGCCGAGGGATGAGCGGGGCGAGGGGGTGAGCGTGGTGAGGGGATGGGGAGCGCAGAGGCAGGCACTGCGAGGCACGAGCCTCTCGCTCTCTGATGCGGCCCAGGCGTGAGGAACGGAATCACACCCTACCCTACTCCTCGCCAAGCTTTGCTCTCAACCCTCGCGAAGTTTAAGGATGATGTGTTCGAACGTTCTTGACTCTTGTCGGGCCTCCGGGAGCCTCTGAGGCCCCGGCCGGGCGAGCATTGGGGATCAGCAGAACGCGCGGCACGGGCCCAAGGCCTTAGACGCCTCCAGCCCCAAATGTACCCTGAAATGCTGGCCAGCGAGAACTGCCGAGGTCGAGCTCTGTCCTCCTGATACTGTTTGACTGCAATTACTCCCTCGTCGCTGTTATCCTCCTCCTATTCCTGGGCCTCCTCCTTCTACTTCTCCTCCTCCTCCTCCTCCTCCGCCTCGCTCCTCCGCCTCGCTCCTCCGCCTCGCTCCTCCTCCTCGCTCCTCGCTCCTCCTCGTCATCCGATCAATTTCCAGTCTCTGCTGGGTCCCGGGTTCGTCAAGAATTGACTCGGGGTGAAGAGCTGGCCCCCGAGAAGAGCTCCAGACCTGTGGGAACAGAAACTCCAGCGTTCCGCGCTGCTCCAGCCCTGTTTCCTCCTCCGCCTCGATTTTCCCCCCCCCACCGAAATAGTAATGATCATCACCACCGTCGGTCCTCCTCCTCCTCCTCCTCCTCCAACTCCTCCTCATCATCATCAGCAGCATCATCATCATCATCCTCGTCCTCATCCTCATCCTCATGCTCATCGACATCCTCATCCTCATCCTCATCATCCTCATCCTCATCCTCATCATCCTCATCCTCATCCTCATCATCATCACCATCACCATCACCATCACCCATCATCATCGTCATCATCATCATCATCATCATCATCATCATCATCATCAACATCATCATCCTCGTCATCCTCATCCTCCTCATCCTCCTCATCCTCCTCATCCTCCTCCTCATCATCCTCCTCATCATCCTCCTCATCATCATCATCCTCATCCTCCTCATACGCCTCATCCTCCTCATTAGCCTCATCCTCCTCATCCTCCTCATCCTCGTCCTCCTCCTCCTCATCATCACCATCATCATCATCAACACCACCATCATCATCATAATCATCATCATCGTCATCATCATCATCAGCATCGGCATCGGCATCGTCACCATCATCGGCATCGTCAGCATCCTCCTCCTCATCATCATCACCACCATTATCATCACCATCATAATCATAATCATAATCATAATCATAATCATAATCATCATCATCATCATCATCAGCAGCAGCAGCATCAGCATCAGCATCAGCATCAGCATCAGCATCAGCATCAGCATCATCATCATCATCATCATCATCATAATCATCATCATCGTCATCATCATCATCATCAGCATCGGCATCGGCATCGTCACCATCATCGGCATCGTCAGCATCCTCCTCATCATCATCACCACCATTATCATCACCATCATAATCATAATCATAATCATAATCATAATCATAATCATAATCATAATCATAATCATCATCATCATCATCATCATCATCAGCAGCAGCAGCAGCAGCATCAGCATCAGCATCAGCATCAGCATCAGCATCAGCATCAGCATCAGCATCAGCATCATCATCATCATCATCATCATCATCATCATCATCATCATCATCATCGTCATCCTCATCATGGGATTCCAAGGTACCTCTACCGAACGAATCTCGGAGCCCCGCTGAAAAACTACGGGTTTTCCCCAGCTGCCGGAGATCGACAACAAACGCGTTTCGAGGGAAGCCCATGAAAGGTCCACGGACCCCACTTGCGATGCTGTATCAAGCCCCTTGGCCACTTCTCCCGCGTTTGAGCTCCCTGGGGCAGGGCAGGCAGACGCAGGATGATAAACACTGAAGGCTCAGGAGGCCTCCAGCCTAGCCTTGTGACACATGCTTGGAGCTTTTTCCGAAGCCACAGCGGGCTTCTCAGCAGGCTGGAGGGCTCCTGAGAAGCCTCGCAGCCTTCTGAGAAGGTCCGCCCCCTGTCACTTCCCCCCACGGCGCCCCGCCGAAAATACGACGCGCAGCACTCCAGCGAAGCGCAGCCCAGAAGGCGAGCGTCCGTGGAGGCGTGCGGCCCAGGGCGGAACCGCCCTGGCGGCGGCAGCCTCGCTGTCATCGCGACCGCCAAAAGCCGATGCCGCCTAACGGTTCACGAGGCGATGAAAGCACTCGGCTGCTCTACCCACGCGCGCAACCGAGCTGGCGTGGGGGCCGTTCGAGAGCCTCGCCTCGTGCAGCCACAGCAGCGACAGGTTGCCCACGCAAGCGATGGGGGCCATGCTCAGCGGGGCGTTCGAACAGCACCCTTGCGGCGAAGCGGTAAGGCACAAGTGCGCCTCGGGAGGCTGGCAAGCAAGGCTGATTGCCCTTGTCGCCGCGCCGTCGCAAGGGGCCAACCACTGCTCTGATGGACTGCCGCGCCAACTTGCAAGCATGCACGCTGGACGCCCATGAACACACACACACACACGCACAGACACACGAATCATTACCCTCCACGGCAGCAAGCGCGTTACTCAAGGCGCGCAAATGTCGCAGCACTTGCAGACAACATGCGCCCATGGCGCAGAAGAACGGGTAGCGCGCGCGACGATCGCTGAAGGCGCTGGCAGTGCCACAGCCTGCCCGGGCCAGTTTCACATCGAAGCCAAATTCGATGGAACATTGGCATGTGCTGCCACGTGGCAACAATACAGCATCGTCAGCGTGGACTCCAGAAAATGAGTTAGCGCACTTTGTATGCACAAGGCAGCTCAGCGCGCAGAAGTGAGGAGGAGGAGGCGAAACGTGATGAGGAACAAAAGGTGGAGGACGAGGTTGGTGAGGACGAAGCAGGGAGGGTTGGTGAGGGAGCGGCGGCAACACGGCGCCGCGGCGAGGCAGCTGCAAAGCGACTGAGAGCTCGATGCAGGAAGGATGATGAGGAAGATGGAGGAGGATGGAGGAGGATCCGTCGCCATTTTGGCTCAAGTCCGTAACCGTTTTGGCGCGAGGACGCGAGTTTTGGCAAGGGGAGTTGCGGCCACATCTGCTTCTGTGTACGTATTGCGGTGTCCGCCGCATCCTCTTGCACCCCATTACTTCTACGTTCGTTGCCCGCGCTGCCCGCTCGCGCTTCCCTCTCAAGCAGCGATGGGGATGTTTCTCGTGTTGGCAGTGCAGCAACAAGCGATGCACCTACAAATACAGCAACTCGCTGCGTGGGAACTGCAGGTTGTGTAGCAAATCGGCGGGGCCGAAGCCTGCAGTCGGCATGCTCGAGCGCGATCGTGTGTGCGTGGAATGGCGGACCGCCATCCGCTGCCAAGAAGCTCAATTTCCTTCCAGAAAGTCAGCTCACCGTCTACGCAAAGATGGCTGAGGACACCTTCAAGGAGGTCAATACAGAATGGGCGCCCAAGCTGGCGGCGCGGGTCGCGTCGCGGCGTGATCAACTACGAGGCGAGCCGAGTGCCACAGCAAAGTCAGCCAGGATCGAGCAGGGCGCGCTGGCGGACAAGTGGGACAAGGCCCAGAGGGCCTACGACTAGGCCCAGGAGAATGCCCTGGCCGCGTGCGCCCACGCAGCCAAGTGCAAAGCCGAGTTGGCCCATGCGCGGGCAGCGGCCCAGGGGGCGGCGGCTAAGGCGGCCAAAGCCTACTCGGCCATCGCGGCGAAGGACAGCCCCGCGCAGCAGCTCCAGAGTCTGGTTGCCGCGCTGGAGCAGGATAAGCGGCTGGAACAGGTGGCCGAGGGCCCTGCTGCTCTTGCGCAGCCTTTTGCGCGACGCTGCTGGCCCCAGCCCCGAGGGCGCGGCCGTGGCTGGCGGCGACGGGGCCAGCGCAGGAGGCCGCGATGCCGAGGGCGTCGGAGGTGCCCCCGCGCGCGCCGCCGCCGCCGCTCGGGCGGCCGCCGCCGCTGCCGCCGCGCAGGAGGAGCGGCGACGGGAGGCCGCGCGGGCGGCCGCGGCCGAGGCCGCCGAGCAGCGGGCCAACGCAGCCCATGCTGAGCTCCTGGCGCGGCTGGCACAGGCGCAGTCTGATGAAGGTCTCGCCAGCTCACTCGTCGAGAAGCACCGTGTCAAGCATGGGTGCACACAGGATTTGCTTGACCAGATGCGAAGCGCAGCTGTTGGGAAATTCAAGTCCGCAGCCTCCGGATGATCTTTAGCAGCGGCAAGCTGACCCTCGTGACCAGCAGCGTGACAGGCCTCGTCGGACTGGAAGCGCTGATCCAGAATGACAAGGTCTTAGCTCGCAACGAATGGGAGAGCAGGTTATCAAAACGTGGATGTCGCGCTTGCTTCGAGGCTGCTGTGGCCACAGGACAAGGTGGATGGAATGGTGGGGTTGCGCACGTGGCGCCCACTGCTGTCGGGCTGTCGGAAGTCGAGCACATTGTGCGATCACTGGTTCCAGGCAGAGTCTCGTTCATGCATTCCACAGGTATCGCGGCGATTGGCTTCTTGTGTGCCAGCGTGTATCTCCATAGCGGCGAAGGTCTGTCGGCCAAGCATTGGAGCATGCTCTCCAAGACCGGCGATGCCGTCAAACTCACAGGCTTGCCCTTTGAGATCTGGAGATTTCCATACGAGCCCAGCCGAGCTGGACCTGTCCGGTTGGCCGACGGCGTTGGATGCAACACGTTTGGCTCCAGCGGCGCCCGCGCGCGCGAATCCCGCCAGCCCTTTAGGGCTACGGTGGTATAACGAGTTTGTTCGTCTCTCTTTCCCTTCCTCCCCCTGCTCGGGGGAGGGTTCACCCCTCCCCCTACCCCCCCCCCCCTGGACCTGGAGAGTGTGTGTGTGTGTGTGTGTGTGTGTGTGCGTGTGTGTGTGTGTGTGTGTGCGTGTGTGCGCGTGCGCGTGCGCGCGTGCGTGCGCGCGTGCGTGCGCGCGTGGTGGCGGTGGTGGTGGCGGGGGATGGAGGCGCCGCAGCGTCCAAGATGGCCCAGGATGGCCCCAAGAGGCGCTCGAAGTCGCAAGATGGCCTCCAAGATGGCCCAAGGTACTCCAAGATGGGCCAATATAGACTCCGACATACCTCCAAGAGGCCCCAAGACAGCCCCAAGACGGCTCCAAGTGCCCTTCGAGCTCTCCATCGCGCCTTCCAACATGCCAGAACCCTTCACAAGCCTAGGGGGCCAATGTTGTTGGCATTCTCGCCGGTTCGCTTCCGACGGGCCTCTGGGGCCTCAAGATGGCCCCAAGATGGCCCAGGAGAGCCCCGAGAGGGGCCCGAGAAGGCCCAAGACGGCCCCGAGATCGCCCAAGAGGCGCCAGAGCGGCCAAAGAGAGCCCCAAGACGCCATGTTTGAGCATCCGAGAGGGGGGGGGGGCCTAAGTGAGGGGCCTCCTTTGTTTGAGCCATGGGGCCCAAGATGGCCCCAAGAGGCCCCCCAGCCTCTCCCAAAGACCTCCCACCCCGCCCTGTTTGGCCCAAGATGGCTCCAAGAGGGCCCCGGAGAGCCCAAGATGGCCTTCAACATGGCCTAAGATAGCCAAGCATGGCTCAAGGTAGCCTCCGACAGCCCTCCGAGAGGCCCCAAGGCAGCCTCAAGATGGCCCAAGATAGCCGAGCATGGCTCAAGATAGCCTCCGACAACCTCTGGCCGACCATGGCTCAAGACAGCCTCCAAGAGGCACCAAGAAAACTGACGATAAATTATGGATGGGCTGGTGGGGATATACGCGAAGCGTCAATCATTCCTCAGAGTGCAAAGCGAGAGTACTCGATTTCTCTTTCGTCTCGGACTCGCTTGCACATGGAACCGAGAAAGGCGCGCTGACAGATTTTGCAACTGCACAGCAGTATCCTGCTCGGCTTACACAGCGAGTGCAGGCGCAACGTTCCCTGTGTCATCCAGCGGTTCGTGCGCCGCGTAGTTTTCCTGTCGGCCTCCCCATCGGGCGCTTGCGAGCTGACCCTGAACCGCGCTGGGGACATCATCGTGAGACAGTCGAGCAGGCAAACCTGCGCGTCGACATGCGCTGGAACCCGTGGATGCAAACGGCAGAGCTGGACCTCGGGGACGCCGCTGACATAGTATACGAAGTCTGCCCAATGTACTTCGGCAGAGCTGAAGGCTCCGTTTTTTGTGTCAAGATGCCGCCTAAGCCGTTGCCTGTTAGGTGCCCCAGAATCTCCACCGTTGCCGTCTGGTGGCGGCTCCTGGCCAGGTGCTTCGCTGGCTTGGGGTCCGCTCGGCCCGTTCCCTTACGCGTTCGTGCTCCGCGCCTTGCCGAGCGTCTCGGGCCCGTGTCCCGGGTTGGCAGAGTGCCCGAGGCGGGCGCCAAACTCTGGCTAGCGCTGTTACCACTGGCGCGTCAGTTGCCCAATGAGCTCGCCAAAGGCGCCTCGCGTGCCGCGAGCAGCATAGCCAGCAGAGTTTTGAAGCAAGCAGAGAAGGCAAAGCTCAGCGGGGGGCGACAGCGGTGCGCTACTCATAGTTGCAGCGGAGACACGGCCCTCTATCCCTACACGAAGCCCGCGCAGCCTTAGGTCCCCAGCTCAATCGTTCAGGTGCAAGGGGCCAAGCGGCTAGCCACCGTGACTGGGGAGATGGAATTGCTCGAGGCTGAATGGGCGGGACGGTGGAGGGCGGGGGGGCCCTCTGATTCCATCTCCTGGCCCAGCGACATGGGCCCAGGGCTGCAGCCCGCCATCCTGGCGCATTTCAAGGTGTATTCGCAGCTTCCCCAAGCGTCCGGGATGTGTTTTTGATTCGATGTCCCCGCGGCAGTTTTTGCAACTGTCCGATGGAGCTCTGCTGGCTCTGATCGAGATCCCCGGGGAAGTTGAAGCGCGTTCATCTTGGCCTCGCCTCTGGACCAAAGTCGTTCTTCTCAGCAGACGTGAGGGGGCGCTTGGCCGATCGCCCCCATTCACATGCCCGCTCGCGCCCAGGGGCGGCCCCGACGCCCGCTCATCAAGAGATGGCAGGCCGCGAATGATCGGCCCTACTGGCGGTCGACTTCAGGCCGCAGCAGCGGCGAGCTCGCTTGGGTCCAGGCTGCCAGGTCGGAGAAGGCATCGTCTCGAGGGTGCCCCAATGGCCTCGCGTTGCTTGACCCTCAAAAAGCTTATGAACACGTTCGGCACAGCGAGCTCCCGCGCGCGGCTGTACTCTCGGGGTTTCCACCTCGCCAGCTCAGGCTTTTAGTGGAGCTTTACCGGGCCCCTCGGTTTCCCCCCCTGGGGGGCGTGGTTTCAAGGCCTCTGGGGGCGCACCGAGCGGTCTTGCCTGGATATCATTTCGCCACGCTGATGCCCCAGCTCATTCTAATTGGGCCAGCTGAAAAGGTTGTGGCGGCCTATCAGGACGTCAAGCTCGGGATTGTCGTCGATGACTTCGGGGCCCACCGTGTTGGAAGAGAGCAGGATGTGGTTGAGGACCTCGCAAGGGGCCACCACATTGTTCAATACTGAGCTGCAGAAAATGCATTTAGTCGTTCACCGTCGTAAGAGTCGGGTCGTTGTGTCGTCGAGATCGACTCGCACTCAGCTAGCTCGTAGGCTCCCCCATGTTAACATGCACGGCGCTGAAAATGAGCGCAACATTGGCATTGTGTTTTTCGGCTGCTGCTTGTCCTTTGCGGGCCACGCGAACTGCGCGCAGAGCGCCAACTTTGGCTCGGGCTCGGAAGATCGCCTCGCTCGGCCTCCTACAAGTACCGGGGGACCCGTGTATGGCGCAAGCCTCGCATGTCGTGGGCTATGCAAGCGCAAGTACAGGTTGCCCGACTGCCTGGCCGCAGTCTCACGTTGCTTCTCATGATGTCAAAAGTGGCACGGTGCGATCCAGCTTAGAAGTTAAATATTGAGCCACTGCAGATGTTTGCGGTGGCCGTCTGGGGCCGTTTTTTACCAGCCCGCTTGCTGGAGCAACTGTTAAACGTTGCTGTTCGGCGGTTTTCCAATCACGGCAATCCTTGGGCCGGCATCCGAGGTCCCTTCGCGGCCTGTGCGGCCACGGCGCTTCGTCTGGGGCTTCAGTTTGAAGGTTTGGTTTTCAGGCATTCCACCTTTGGGCAGCTCTCTGTTTAGGACGTGGGCCCGAAGACCTTTGTAGTGTGGCTTCAGAGGGTGGTCGAGTACTGGCTCTGGAGCAAGGTCGCTGCTCGTCCCGAGGTGCCCGAGTTGCAGAAAAGGATGCGACCATGCTCCGCTCAGAAGCCTCCGATCTCTCCTCCCATAGAGCGCGGTTATATCAAGAGTGTTATTTCAGGGGGTCACTGGCCGCAACACAGGAAGTGGGAGGCTAAGTTAGCTAGCGACCCCATGTGCGTAGCGTGCGGCGCCTACCCAGGGGCTTTGTTGCACAGGCACGCAGCGTGCGGCATGCATGAGGAGACCATGGATAGAACCAACATCCCTTCCTACCTTCCCTCTCTTGTGCGTGCGGCTGTTCAACCTCTTCCCCTCCTCTTTGCTGAGAGGCTGCTGCTGCCGCTTGCTGATCTCCCTTCCTGCAAGCCCGTGCCTGACAGATGGTTCGGCGCCCAAGACGGTCCAAGAGGGCCCCCAGACGGACCAACAAGGAGCCCAATAGAGGGAACGCGAGCCCCAAATCCGAGACTTAAAGAGGCCCTCAGGAGGCCCCAAGAGGCGCCCAGGAGGCCCCAAATGGCCCCCCAGAGGCCCCCCAGAGGCCCCACGCCAAGAGTGCAAAGGGGCCCCCGAGGCTGGCTCCCATGGTGCGCGCGTGTTGATGAATCTCGCGCGCGCGCCTGCCAGGTATAGCTTGAACAAGACCTGGCATCTTCTTCGCCAGCCGCTTCGAACTGGCGGCTTGATACGTGCTGGTGAAGTCGACTCTCTTTCAGTCGCCTAATTTGTTTGGTTTTTCTGGTATCTCACCCGAAGGGTGAGTTGGAGTGAGTGGTGGTGAAGGTGGTACGGGCCTTATCAAAGGGTTGTGCCACCCACTCAGCTCAGAGTGTGCTGTGAGACCCATCGTGGCGCCAGGTCTGGTGGAGGAGGAGGAGGAGGATCATAGTAATAACCATGACTGAGGAACAGCGAGGGGCGGCGGCAGCACGAAGAGGGGGAGAGAGCAGTAGGAAGCGAATGAGGAGCGGGGCAGGAGGACGATGGGGAGGGAGAGGAGGAACAGGAGGAGGGACAAAAGTAGAAGTGGGGAGGGCACGAAGCAGGACGATCAGGAGGACGACGACCACAGCAATGCATAGCAGCAGCAGGAAGAGGTGGAGGAGGAGGAGGAGGAGGAGGGGGAGGAAAGGCAGAAAGCATAGGAACGGGGAACACGGATCCCGTTCTTTCATCATTCAAGATAACGCCCGTGACCGGCCCCGCCCCCCCTCCCCGCCGCCCCCGGTCACCTCAAGATTCGCGCCAGCGCCGTGTGGGAAGCCACCATTCCTTCGCAGTCCCAAACGGCTCCAGCACGAATCGTGACGTGACCGGCCCCAGACCCCCATCTAGGCCACCCTGCCCCCCCTCCCCCCTTCCCCATCCCCCCCCTGGTCACGCCCATTACCGCCGGGGTATGGAAAGCGGTCTCTAGTACGTAGAAGGAGCAGGACGGTATTACAGAAGGATGAGGGACCTTGAGCAGGACCGGGAGGATCGGAGTGATGCGAAGAAACAAGGGGGAGGCAAGATGAGCAGGACGAAGGAGCAAGATGCGCAGGATGAGGGAAAACCCGAGGCGGCAGCAACGGGAAGAGCGCGACCAAGGCGGGCACGGCGGCCTCCCGGGCGCGCCCGAGACTCGCGAGGACTGGCGCGAGGCTGGCGAGGATGGCTGCGAAGGCGGCGAGGACGGCCGCGAAGTCGGCTTGGTCGACACGGCGGAGGGCCTCGCCGGCAGGTCTCCGCCGCCGTCGCCTATCGTCCGCCACCCGTTGTCGTCGCCGTCGTCCGTCGCCCGTCGTTGGACGTCCGTCGTCGTCGACTGTCGAATGTCGTCGTCGTCGGAGGAGGAGGAGGTAGACGAGAAAGAGCCGGGGAGGGCAGGAGGATCTGAGAAGATGAGTGGGGGAGGGAGGGAAAAGCGAAGGTGGGAGGAGGGTGGATGAGGAGGAGGAGGAGGAGGAGGAGGAGGAGGAGGAGGAGGAGGAGAACAGGAGAGAATTGCAGAGGGCGCCGGGCACCCCCTCTGTCCCTCTGGGCAAGGGCATCCTGGCCATTCCGAAGAAGAGCACCCTCAAACAGATCGCCTCGATAATCTGGGTCACCTGACTTCGCGCATCGCATCCCGCGGTGAGCGACGCGCGGCTATCTTCGCGCCGCCGCGTCCCCGTACTGCCCCCATGGAGAAGGGCAGCCACTATGGCAAGTCACTATGGCCAAGACCACGAAGTGAGGAGCGCGAAAATGCTCGCGCCCCCGCGGGTGAACTAGATCGTCGGCGTCGTGGGCAGCCCATTCCCGAGGCGCTCGCGTCGGGGAGGTCGGCTTCGAAGGGGGGTGAAAGTGCTGTGGTGCTCTTCGCTTCCGAAAATCTCAGGCCAATACGCAACTCGTCCAAACCTCTGCGACGTATCAAAACTTGTTGCGCAGATGCTTCTCTTTGCGCCGCTACGGGATCCCCAGTGCTTCCTCAGGCTTCTTGGGGGCATCTTGGGGCCTCTTAGCGGCGTCTGCGGATTCATGCGGCGTTCTGGGGGGATCTGGGCTTGGAGGAGCGCTGGCGTATCTCTTGGGGGCCAATTGGGCAAGGATCTCCTCCGCGAAAACGCCGGCAGGGGCACAGAATTCAACGGGCTTCCCAGACCCCGCAAGTGGCGTCAAGAGGTGCTGTGTTGGGCTCAGGACCCTTTGAGTTCAGGAAGAGATTTCTTCAAACAATGAAAAGTGTCCTGCTGTGAGCGAGCGAGTCTATTGCCCCTGCGCCCCTCAAGGAACAAAAACTGCCTCATCCACTCCCCCTCGAACTTCGCAGCGCTTCGAACTGGCTTCAGCGGCGGCGAGGAAGGAGGGAAGAGGCGGAGGCGAAGAACCAGGGGCCAAGAGGAAGCAACAGGGAGCGAGGAGGGAGAGATGTCGCAGGCAGTAATCATTAATAACAATGCGGCATAGAGGCGCGCCGTGTCCCTGGTTTCCCACAGGTCCGAGGCGGGGCAGGCCTGGGCAGGCCTTTGACAAAAACGTAAAACGTAAGCACTCTCAGAATGCGGCTGAACAGAGACAGCGGGAAAAAAGTATCATTCTTGCACGGCTGCCAGCCGAAGCTGGTTTTAAACCAGGAACAAGCGAGAGGGCCTAGACAGGCCCCAACAGGCTTAACACAAACCCTGGGGAACCGTCGCACCGACAAGTCTGGCTACGACGCTCTATACGGACAAAACTACCAACTGACTGTAACTGGCAGGCGGCACAGCAGCAACGCAGCAGCGGTGGCAGCGCCTCAAGCCTGGAACAAGTCCAAGCTCACATACACGTAGAACGCGGAAAGGGAGACGAAGAACAAAGATTACGCAGACGGCACATCGACCAGCTGGGCGGTGAGGGCGTCGGCATACTCGGAGGAGGTAGCGCGCGTAGCTGCATATCCCAAGACAAGCAGGTAGTACGCAGCACCTCCGTCAGAAAAAGTAGTGTATGAACTCCAGTGAACCATGAAGCACACAAGCCACGCGCGAACCATGCCGTAGGCATTCACTCCAGGTCGATGTGTAAGCCCAGCATCACCAAATTCAAATCGACCGAAGAGAATCGCAATCAAAATAACATACTGCAGGTCGTCGACATGCTTCAACAAGGGTGTATCATCTGGGACCGGCACCCGTGGGTACTTGACCAGTAATTGGGGCTGTGGGGACCGATGACGGCACGCATTGTTGGGCTTCTGAAAATCCAAGCGAAATTCTTTAGGCGTCAAGGCCTCACCCATCAGCGTCCCAGTAGTAAGTAATAACTGTATGTCGCCGTCCGCAGCCTCAATGTGGAGCACATGCGTGCGTCGACGAAGCTGCAGTAAATACGTGTCAGCGTATGGTAGATATTCATGAAGCACATCATCCAATCGTGCGTGCG